GGGGGGGGGGGCGCAAGCCACAGTGCATATCGATCGGCCACAAGCGGGGCGTTGCATGCATGCACGCACGGGCTGGCTGGTGCTAGCCTGCCAGCAGGGTGGTTGACGCGAAACGGAATGAATCTCACGACCGCTGCCAACCGCTACCTAACGCTGCCGCCGCTGACGCTTGCTCTTATGGGGCTGCTCCGAGGAGCTGCCCCCGCCACGTGCAGCAGCCTTTTGCCGCCGCTTGCCGGTGCCGCGGGCGCCGTCACCGGGCGCCCTGATCGGCGCCACCTCCTCGCCAACGTCCTCCCCGTCGTCAGCCTCTTCCTCCCCCTCTTCTTCCTCGTCTGACTCGCCCGCCCCGGCGTCCTCCTCTCCTGCCTCATCGTCGATGAAAGCGGCGGCACCTTCTTTGCGCGCACGCCTCTGTGCCGCCCGTTGCGCCTGGGGCGTGAGGGTCTGGTCGGCGTGCAGTCCACACATGTGGGGGGAGGCGTTGGGGGCGTGCGCGGCGGCATCGTCAATAATATGTTCGAGTGAGTGCACATGGGGTCCACCCACAAGGTTGACTGCAGCTGCCAATTGCAATGGCAAGCGGCCATGCATATGCTGGAACGGCACGCAGTCAACAACTACCCACCCGCCCTCCCGCCCTGAGCACATGCGGCGATAACAAGAAATACTGGTGAATGGACAGTAGTTCTTACTTTTGGTGCAAGCGCGTGCCCATGGCAAGCAGTGATGGCAATCCCTAGGCCTGCCAACCATATTAATCCGTGTATTTGCTGTTGCATGCACATGCATCCGTGCGTGAGTTGCTGCATGCGTTGATCACTGTCACACTATTGTGGGTGAGCAAGGGGTGCGATTGCGCACGGTGTCGCAAATGCTGTGGGGCCGCACGCCGCACCTGGGCTGCCGCCTCGGCCTCGTCAAACGCCGGGGCCGGCGCCGCCGGCGGGTCCTGGCCGTGCGTGTGTAGGGGATGGTGTGGGTGGGCTTGAGCACGCTTGCTATACAAGTGGGCAAGGTGGACAGGTTGTGTTGCCAAGTGGCCGATCCGCGATGCGTAGTGGTGGCATGTCAGCCCAAGTAATCGGCGCATGCTGGTTGGTTACTTGGCTGGCCAGGCCGTGCGGAGCCCCCACGGTGCCATGGGCGGCGGGCCGCTCATGTCCTCCACAGCAGCCGTCGCACTCAAATGCATCTAGGGGCGCAGCGTTTCATGATGCGGGCGCTGTAGCGCCCTATCCCGCCCGTGGGCCCGCGGTCATCAAACACCGCACCAAGCATTCGCGCACCTCAGGGTTTGCGCTTGCCTTCTTGCGGCGCCCCTTGATGCCCAGCACCGCCTCTGCGTCCTTCTTGAACCATTCTGTTTTTGCCTGGCATGTTGTTGGGGTGGGCCGACAGTCGGGTACACATGTTGCACCCAGCTAGGTGGCTATAGGTAGGTATTGAGGTCCAATACGGCCACCTGTCAGGTTGCTCAATATCTCACTCGCACAGCAACACGGCGTAGTGTGCGTTTGATCACTCCCCGGTGGCGGACCGCCGGCAGGAGCCCGTGCGTTGCAAAAACCCCATGGTAATTGCCAATCACGCACGTGCATTGGGCACGGCTGTGCCGGCGCCACGGGCGGGCGCCTGTTGCGGCTAGCACCACTTGTCCGCTGGTCCAGGCAGCAATCCCAATATGACCAGCCGTCAAAATGTCCATAACCCGCGCCTCACCAGCTTCTCGAAGTCTTCCTTCTTGAAGCTCAGGTTGTAGTCGTCCCCCCCAGCATCTGGGTCCCCCAAGCGGAAGGAGGCCAGGCGCTGCACCTCTTCATAGGTGGCAAGGAGACCAGGCGGGTCATCATCCGCCGCGTCCACCTCCCACATAGCAAAAACCGAAATGATGCGGGCATCGTCTAGCATCCACCTGCAAGTTAGTGCATGTGCCGGGGTGTCACAGTGCTGGCAATGAGCGGTGTCGGGGGCACCCGCAGACGGGCACGCGGGCGGCTACCCTCAGGCGGCTACCCTTGGCAGGCATGCAAGCCTCGTGCGTGCTTGGCATGTGTGGCCGGGCAGGCCATCGCAATATCGCCGTTTGTGTGGTGGCAGATGCGGATGCTGGCGCTGTCCATACGACCCCGCGGTCCAGTTCACGGTCCTGGCCTTGCTATAGCACTCGCCACGCCTGGCAGGGCTTGCTTTTGCGCCTAAGAACAAATGAGTATGCCACTCACTCCAGTTGGTCGCCTTGGCTGCCCGATGCCGCCTGGCCTGGCTGCTGCTGCTCCTGCTGCTGCTGAGTGGGCCCGCCCTCACTTGAGCCTGTCGCTTGCAGGTCCTTGAACTGAAAGGAAAGGGGTCCCTTTTTCACCAGGAGGTCCTTGGTCCCTTTGAGCTGGCTGAGCTGGCTGCGAGGGGGGGGGGGGGGGGGGGGGGG